GGTCTGACTCACCAACCAAGTAGTCTGCATAGCGGTAAAAAGGATAACGATATCTGATGTTTGACAAGTTTGCTATACGGATATTGGAATGTTGGGGGCCTGTCATTATTAGTTACAGAGAGGGAGGGGGAAGGGCTGTCAGAGGTTTTTGGTTGTGTCACGATTAAAATTTACCCAGTAACCCACAAGGCTCTGTAATATTCTTTTGACCTCCCTCATTGGCAGTTAACTGGCAGTTAATTTTCAATAGTGCTCTTCTATTTCGTTGGTAACGACTGATCCCGCTCCGTTTCCCATGAAAGACCATGTTACCCCTCAAAATCCGCCGACCCCCGACCACCCCCTCTCTTCCCTCCCCCCCCCCCCCCTGCAATAAATAATGGCTGGTTTTAAAATATTGTCAAAGTATAGTTCTACCAATTCTACACGATAGACACCTCTTGCATGCCTTGAAAATCATCACAAACGGAAACTGGAAGCAAGCCATGCTAATAACTTGTTTGTTAGTGGACAAATATTTCTTTTCCATCTGACTAGAAAGTTCTATGGCATACTGTTTATGGGAACAAGATTCTTGGAATCTGGTATGGAAACATTTACCGGAAATTTAGATGGCGTGTTTTGCATCAGTGCTTGATTATCGTAACGGGATCCTGGATGTGATTTCCGATTTTTTCTGTTTACAGATACGGTTACATTAGAAAAAAATAATTTAATCATAACCAGAGAAAAAAACTTCATCGTGTGATGTCATCGTGTGATGTGTAACATAACTAAAGGATGCGTCTCCCACTCTTAATTAGCTAAAACAAATCATGCATCTTCTGAAAGCCTTCAACTTCTGAAACAACAGAAAACAATAGCAGTCTATAAATGATTTAATGGGCACGCAAAGTCTCTTCTACCGTTAGATTATGTGGTAAACTTAGTCCTGTATTTCTGAGAAATTCGGTTTGTGAAATGATCAATCACAACTGTCAACTCCTAAAAAGTTGTTAGAGAATCAAATTGCAGGTGAGTAGCTTTGGAAACTGAAAAGGAATTATCAGCGAAATGTGTTTTCTACTGTCTTAATTAAAGTACGGACAAATGATTCAACTAGACCCTGTGAGCAGGGTAACTGGGATACCTGGATGGTACTGGATCCTTGGAATCAAGTGTAGTGATACTACGGGTGTCAGACTAGTATACTGAAATAGTGCGCTCAAGTCTGGCCAAGGGCATACACCTATTTCAAAATATAGGCATGCTATGCGTGCAAGAGTTCCTTTTTTGTAGGGTGGGTGGATTACTTGAAACATTGTGAGTGATGTCTACATTCTTACTGAAACTATCTGTAAACGCATTACTTTACAGATTTCGAATCTTCGATCCATATCCATGAATTTTGTCATAACATTCATCCGTTCTTTATTGTAATAAAATATCAAAAGGAGAGAAGAATATTAATGTGGGAAAGAACGAAAATGTCGAATTACCTCACTCACAGGTATTTTGTGGTATATAATGTGTGTTTTGCGAATAAATGTATCCAAAAATAAAACTGTATTGGTGCCATGGATACCTGTTAGTACAAAATGCAGACAGCAGACTGCAGACCGGATACAAAATATAGACTGCAGACTGCAGAGTGGGTACAAAATGCAGACTAAGAATCTGAAGAGTTTTTACGTCTGGTATATAATAACATGTCATCTTACAGCTTACCGAGCGTCACGCAATCGCTTTTCTGCGATTCGCCTTTACGATTATTTGCACTATTGTGGAATATTCCTGGCCCATTTCTTGATGAAAATGGATCGCAATATTATTTCAAGCCTTCAATATAGTCTTCTTCCTTTGCGCGCGAGTTGGTTGGTGTGATGTCTGTACAGATTTTACCAACGTAATAAAAGTAGATGACGTGAATAACAGTGATGGTGAAGCAAGCTTAAAACGGCAGAAATCGCCAGAAAATACAACGGATACACAGGTTATGAGTAAGTTTTATTGATTTTGCGAGAAAAATGTTCATATTTCGAAATACGTATCGTTGTAAATCAACCATACTTCGTTCCCTGTACTATTCCTTATAAAGTGCAGTTCCTCTCGTAACTTAACACCGAGTCACACAACGCGTGACGCGTTCATGAATTAATCGTTGGCTTTTTCTCGAGACGTGAGCTTGGGCCGCTTGTGACAAGACAATTGCGTAAACAATATTTAACATAATAACATTATACATAAAAAACACAGGGTTTTGGATCACGTATTTATTAAAAAAGAATATCCATACAACTACAATGAAAACAAACATAATATTCACCTTTCTGATCGTGAAATTAATACCATTCGTACTGTTATCGTAGCTACGTTCCTTGCCATCAAGTGAATCCAACATGTCGTCTTTCTTTACAAGCAGTTTGCATCCCTTATAGTTATGTACTTCAGTCTCACGGTAGTTGCGTTGTTCAATAGATTGCATAGAGTATATGCAGTTTGGTTTCAGATTTCAGATTTTGCTTTTTACAACAAGTGAACGTTTTTCAACTAAGACATCGGCATACTTAGCATACAAGGCATTCAAGGCTTTCATGGCTTTCAAGCGTTCGCGACTCAATCCGTTCCAAAATTACCGCTTAATAACATCTTTCAGTGTGGATTAGCCGCGATTAATACGACTTGTATATGCGTCTGTAAGTATTTTGCACGTTTGCGCCATAATGCTCCAGGAGATCGCAATCCAAATACGTTGAAATACAAAATAACTGACCAAAGAGTTTTATAAGCAAAATCTCGTGTTCGTCATGTGACCCGGCCCTGTCTGTGCATGACAACGTCAATCATCATCAAGATAACACGCGTGATCAGCATGTGAACACCTCAGTGGATCACAGTTAGTTGTCATGGTGTTTAGGGATAACACGCGTGATCAGTATGTGAACACCTCATTGGATCACAGTTAGTTGTCATGGTGTTGAGGGCCCAATGACCTCTGGGTACTATTGCGCAATTTTTCCATTTTATGGCGGAGGAAAAAAAAAAAAAAAACTAGACCCTGTGAGCAGGGTAACTGGGATACCTGGAAGGTACTGGATCCGTGGAATCAAGTGTAGTGATACTACGCGTGTCGGACTAGTATACTGAAATAGTGAGCTCAAGTCTGGCCAAGGGCATACACCTGTCTCAAAACATAGGCATGCTATGCATGCAAGAGTTATTTTTTGTAGGGTGGGTGGATTACTTGAAACATTGTAAGTGGTCTACATTCTTACAAAAGGAAAGAAGATTATTAACGCGGGAAAGAATGAAAATGTCGAATTACCTCACACACAGGTACTTTGTGGTAGATTATGTGTGTTGTGCGAATAAATGTAACCAAAAATAAACTGTATTTGTGCCACGGATACCTGTTAGTACAAAATGTAGACAGCAGACTGCAGACCAGATACAAAATATAGACTGCAGAGTGGGTAAAAAATGCAGACTGAGAATCTGAAGAGTTTTCACGTCTGGTATATAATAACATGTCATCTTACAGCATACCGAGCGTCACGCAATCGCTTTTCCGCGATCAGCCTTCACGATTATTTGCACTATTGTGGAAAATTCCTGGCCCATTTCTTGATGAAAATCGATCGTAGTATAATTTCAAGCCTTCAACATAGTCTTCTTACTTTGCGCACGAGTTGGTTGATGTGATGTCAATACAGATTTTACCAATGTAATAAAAGTAGATGACGTGAATAATGGTGATGGTAAAGCAAGCTTAAAACGGCAACAATCGCCAAAACTACAACGGATACACAGGGTATGAGTAAGTTTTATTGATTTTTCGAGAAAAATATCCATATTTCGAAATATTTATCGTTGTAAATCGACCATATTTCGTTCCCTATACTATTCCTTATAACGTGTTCAAATTTTCAACGGTTCCTAGAATAACTTACTCTGAGTCACACAACGCGTGACAGGTTCGTGAATTAATCGTTGGCTCTTTCTCGAAACGTGACCTTGGGTCGCCTGTGACAAGACAATTGCGTAAACAATACTTGACATAATAACATTATACACAAAAAACACGGGATTTTGGATCATGTATTTATTAAAAAAGAATATCCATACAACTACAATGAAAACAAACATAAGATTCACCTTTTTGATCGTGAAATTAATACCATTCGCACTGTTATCGTATTTTTTTTTATCGTGAAATTAATACCATTCGCACTGTTATCGTAGCTACGTTCCCTGGCATCAAGTGAATCCAACATGGCGTCTTTCTTCACTAGCAGTTTGCATCCATTTGAATCTCGTTCTTCAGTCTCACGGTAGTAGTGTTGTTCAGTAGATTGCATAGAGTATATGCAGTTTGGTTTCAGATTTCAGATTTTGCTTTTTACAACGAGTTTACGTTTTCAACTAAGACATTGGCATACTTGGCATACAAGACATACAGGGCATTCAATGCTTTCATGGCTTTCAAGCGTTCACGATTCTGTCCGATCCAAAATTACCGCTCAATAACATCTTTTTGTGTGGATTGGCCGCGAACAATACGACTTGTGTATGCGTCTATAAGTATTTTGAGCGTCTGCCCCATAATGCTCCAGATGATCGTAATCTAATTACGTTGAAATACAAAACGACTGACAAGATAGTTTTATGGGCAAAAATCTCGTGTTCGTCATGTGACCCGGCCCTGTCCGTGCATGACAACGTCAATCATCATCAAGAGAGCACGCGTGATCAGCATGTAAACACCTCATTGGATCACAGTTAGTTGTCATGGTGTTGAGGGCCCAATGACCTCTGGGTACTATTGCGCAATTTTTCCATTTTGTGGCGGAGGAAAAAAACAAAAAAAAAAAAAAAGACGACAAAAAAACAAAGGCATTTTATGACTGGGCTACCACAGGTATCCCAGTAATAATTCAAGCCGCGTAAATTCTAAGATACTTGAACATGACATGTTGGGGGGTGTTACAATTTGACAGTTGCTAGGCGTTGTAACGGTCATTAGAACTTAATTCCGTGCTAGTTCAACTTTCTCTTGTTCTTGGCACAGTTAACTAGGAACACAGGTAAGCTTCTCATTTTGCGTTTTGGCGTATTGTTATACTATGGATCTGTATAAGTACGTTTTCTTTTCATCTCGCTGTATTTTGACCCTTCAAGTAATGCTCCTTCCTGAATACGACTTGTAAATAAATACACCCAAAGGACTAACACGATTCGTTCGAGAAGAACTAGTCGTCAAATCTTGTTTGCTGACTTGCCATTTAAAAAATTTACTAAGAGCATAATCTTTCCTCGTACCAAAGTAAATCTGGAACAAGCCGTTCTCTCAATATTTGTGCCTCAAACAATAGCATCGAAAGTTTAAAAGACTGGCACGATTCGTTCGACAAGTACTAGTCTTTCAAATCTCGTTGGCTGATTTGCTCTGCCGAAAATTCACTAAAAGCATAAACTTTCCTCGTTCCAAAGTAGATCTCAAACAGCAGCATCGAAAGTTTAAAGGACTAACACGATTCGTCCGACAAGTACTAGTATTTCAAATCTCGTTGGCTGACTTGCTCTTTTGAAAATTCACTGAGAGCATAAACTTTCCTCGTACCAAAGTAAATCTCAAACAAGCTTTTATTAATATTTGGGCCTAAAACAACAGCATCGAAAGTTTAAAGGACTAGCACGATTCGTTCGACAAGTATTAGTCTTCCAAATCTCGTTGGCTGACTTGCTCGGTAAAAAATTCAATAAGTGCATAAGCTTTCCTCGCACCAAAGTAAATCTTAAACGAGCTTCTCTCAATATTTGTGCCTCAAACAACAGGCATTCAAAGTGTAAATGCACACACTTTTCATATGAGGCATTGTGCTTATTTCATTCGTTCTGGGAGCATTACGATCAAACTATAATTTCCTCTTGTTTGTTGTCGACTCAAGATATCGTGTATTAAACTTGAGAGATTAGTGCGGAAATTTTGCCTTATCGGGAAAAATTTCCGCACAGCCCCATACTTTATTTTTCAGTGTATCACCAGTAAGATGTACATGCATAATTAAGTATGGGGCTGTGCGGAAATTTTTCCGAATCGACTACCTTATTGGCCCATCTACTTTTAGAATTTTTAGGAATCAGAACACAATTGTTCCCTATACAACTATTTCCTGTTTTACAAACTCAAAAATCCGAACACTGAAACAGACTATGCAAATTAGGAATCGTCTGCAAAGCTAAACTCGTGGAAACAGAAGTCATGTCAGTAAAGACGTGATTCGAGCTGAATCTTTCTTTATTTAGCGTGTTTAGCTCTGGTTTCTCAAGGACGGGACGAGACTGCTTTTTTGTATGGAGTGGATAACATCTTTAGGTCTGCCATTGTCGCGTCAATATCTAAATATACGAGAAATTTACGTTCTTAAGAAAGAAAATGAGGGTAAGTCCGTTTAAATCATTCATTTCTTTTCATTTTTCATCATCTTCTGAAAGCCATCAACTTCTAAAACAAAAGAAAACAACAGGAGTCTATTAATGACTTAATGGGCACGCAAAGTCTCTTCTGCCGTTAGATTGTGTCGTGAACTTCCCGTGTTTCTGAGAAATTCGGTTTGATTTAGTTCGGACGCACATGCGTCATATCTGTCATCGGCTGATAATTTAGGTCGTTGCGTTCTAACATTCCATTGAAGATTATTTTCTCTTTCGCTCAAAAATCATGTTTGATCATAATATATGTTACTTTTCATTCACAAATATACATTTACAGGTTTGGGAAAAATTTCCGCACAGCCCCATACTTAATTATGCATGTACATCTTACTGGTGATACACTGAAAAATAAAGCCCCATATATGGATGTATAATGATGTATGGGGCTGTGCGGAAATTTTGCCCAGGTTTGTCTCAAGGCAAAAAACAAGGATTCGTGCGCGAAAAGTAAAAGTAAATGTTTCAACACCACATGCGTCACGCATTTAAATACCGCAAGAATGTTTACAGATTACTTACCTCGATTCTTCGCTAAGATTTTCGAGTTTTCTATCTAATTCGGATTCCTCACCACTAGAGGTAGCACCATGCTCACTTCCATCGTCAAAAATCACCTCTAAAGCCTTAGCTACGCTGTATCTCCAGCGTTTCGCATCGGACGCCATTATCGCAGACTGAAATCGTACGCAAATAATTTCACGTTTGATAGTTCGGAGCTAAAACTCGCCATGTGATTGGCTTAGAATGTTTACATGCTACAGCCGAAATTTCAGAGCGATCGGATGTAATCCGAGCATTTCCGAAAAGGTCAAAGTCATCGTGCAATTTTGCACGATCGCGTCAGTATCTAAATATACGAGAAATTTACGTTCGTAAGAAAGGAAATGGGGGTACGTCAGTTTAAATCATTCATTTCTTTTCATTTTTCCGCAAATAAGGGAGATAAGAAACAGACAGAACAGCCTGAGAGCTAGTTTTTTTTGTTCACTGAAATCGCTTTTAAAGTGCCCATTTACACACTTTCATATGAAAAGATAAATTATACACCCATTTGATTGATTCTAACTTGAGATCTATAGGAAGATCTAATATCTATTGGCGCAAATATCATGAAAATATTTACGCAATGGAATATTGATCGATTTGTCATCGAAAAATTATTTAACGGTGTACTATTATCTGCCTTGTTTACTGCAAAGTAACAAAGAACAAAAATAGGTCCGCAATGCGTACTTGTGTGGGATTTTATTGACAAAGTGTTTAGAAGGGGTTTTTGAGCGGAAGCAAACCTGTCGCTCACTGCGAGTCAACTGTACTACAGGGGTGATATTAGGCCTGGAATCAACAGTCTGAATAGTAATTTTTGTGTGGGAATTATTTGAACAAATACAGATTCACAGGAGGGATCTGGGGTATTAACTTTTCCTTTTATCAAGCAATATGCCTTTCCTTCCCTCCCTGGAAGCTTTTTGGCGTGTTTTTGAACGTTTGGTAATCGTCTTCAACAAATAAATTACCTCTTGGTGGCTTAGGCTATTTATTTGTTTATACGGCAATACTGGAAATACTTGGAGCAGTAAATATTTTCGTAACAGTCATTGAAAAAAAATTGAAAAAATTTCTGCTACTACTTTTTAACTCGTGGATACACGATAGCGTAGAAACGAGTTCTTGTGGGCGCTCTGCGATATGCAAATTAGCGTGGACTCTTCGTAATTAGTCGTAATTAGTCGGCTTCGAACTCGAGATCTATCCTTCCGAAGAAGTAAGTCCAAAGTCGTGGCGCTATTATGATTGCACTGATCGTTGCGATATTTATTGTCTTTACACGCCTGTTTCGACATTTACTATATTGAAATGGACTTCAAATGTTTCAGATTAGTGCTATGATCAACTTAAAAACCAAATTTGAAGCGTCTTGGAATCGTCCATGCGCTGAACATAACGAGGACCAGCGAGAATCACGAAGAGTTTGTGAGTGACAGCAAGCTGTTGACACAGAAATTCCCACGGAAACATGTACACATGACATAAAAAAATGGTAATTTGCAGCATTATTTCTTTCTACGCCAATTTGGGTCTTTCCGTTGTAATCATTTCGTTTTGTTATTCTTCTATGCAAGCGTGACTGTTTTGATGGTAAGAACGAAAGATGATCGCTTTCCACAAGTCGTTGCCGAGCACGTGACTATAATCCGGCCGGTGTTGTTTTGATCACTTGGCAATCTTTTTCGCTGAAAATACAGGACGACTTCCTATTTCAAGGAATGTTTTTCCAATTAATTTCTATCGCATCGGTGTAAAAAAGTACAGGTGTATGGGTGTTCTGAAAAACAAAAGGGAAATTCAAAACTACGAGAAATTGCGAGTAATCGGCCTCTTGTACTATACGCGGGTTTTTTTGGTGTAACATGCGTGTGTTTCCCGTAAGTTACAAGCACTTTACGCACGTGGGAATGCTGCAATCACGAATTTTATATTACGTGAAAGTCACGCATGTGGTTGTTTGCTCACTTCACTAATATGTTTGTTTGCTTGTTGTTGTTTTTTTGGTATCCTGGAGTATTTCAGGAGGGGTTGCAGACTTAACTGTGGAATAATTGTTTAATGCAGGGTTGTCAATAAAGGTTGCAGTTAGAAATTAGCCAAGATGCTAAAGGAGCTGCCTTGAAATTTCAGGACTGTGTGTTATGTAGTTTATTTTTGTCTTTTGTAAATGGTTGTTAAACTGGACAACTCTTAGAAAGATGACTTCAAACTTAATTTTAAAAGCTTTCAACTTGAAGATGGATAATTTACACTGTGGCACCAATGACCGTTGACAAATTTTTGCGCAATAAATAGTGACGTTTAAGGTCGTTCAACCGTTTTTAAGTCGATTAATATTCCTATGCACTTGAACCCTGGCTTCGAAGGTACTTTCATAGCCTGCAGGAATGATATTAATATTTGACATTAAACAAGTTCATAATTTTCGCGGCGAGCTAAACGATAGACATGTTTTTGCATGCCATGAAAATTATCGCAACCCGGAATTTGGAAGCCAGCTATTTAGATAACGTGTCCGGTAGTAGATAGATATTTGCGCCTTGGGTCAATCCAGAAGATTTTTTTATTGTTTTATTATTCATAGAAATAAAGGCGCAGACGAAGAGAGAAACGGAATAGCGAACCACAGAAGAAACTTTACAAACTCAAAAAATAGAAGAACGGTAAGTTTCTTAAAAAAACTGTGTTGCTGCTTCGGTACGATAACTTCGTTTCATCAACTGAGTTGATAATATAAATTGGCCACCGTAAAGAGTTAATAAAGCTGATGGTTCCAACGTTAGCCCTTGGTCAAAGTTTTGACGAGTTTTTTTTAGGATTCTTGGTGAGCATCGATCTTAAAGAGCGAATTGATACAAAAGCGCGTTAATTAGAAAATCATTCAACGACAAAATTGTAATCATTTTCTAAAAGCAGCTCACGCGCTGTGTGAGGTGGCGTGGTTGAACATTGTTCATTTCCATTCTATATCTTCATTTTCGTTAACAATTGCGGATAGAGCACAAGCCTAATTTCACGACCATTGAAAAGATGTATATAATGAAAATTAGTGATTCTTTTGTAGAATAAGATACTTATTTTCCGCTTGTCTTATTCTCTTTTCAGTAAAATGGTGACGATTGTCAGTGGCTCCCAACAGTTCCAATACTTTGCGGGCGGAATGTCCGTAGGGACGATCCCAGGAATTAGTTTCGCTTATCAGCAGCGCCTTCATAACGTCGGGATCTTTCACGCGAATCAGTTATTCGTGCAATACCATCTACTGCAACAGAATTATGCAGCTTTTACAGGTTGGCTGGTAAACACATGTGGAGCAACTACTCCGCATGCCAACCTGTGTTTCAATTATATCCAAGCTCAATACGGCCAATACGTCTTAGGAAGATTTCCGCAGTTGACTTGAACTATGATTTTACAGATAAGCTGAGAGTTCCAATAGTTCAGAATCGAAACATTTTTACTTATCATAGGCTTTACGAACGACTTGTAATAGGAGTAGTTTCTTCGTTCATGTTCAAAAACTGTTTAATGTTATTATTTTAGAAAATCAGACTGAGTTATTTTTGTGACTGGACGCAATAGTCTCCACTACTGTTATGACGTTTCCTACCAATGTTAATTCGCATCAGAAGAAGCAAAGATTTATTGTAACAATTTCAATAGTTCGAATGGAGTAGTTTGTTCACATCTAATTCTTGCGTATACCGAAAGTCTCGCTATAAAAAATGTGGTAGAATTGGAACGAAATGGCTGATGTTATTTTTTTTACCTTTATTGAGGAATGTTGTGTTGTGATTGAAAAGAACATCGACAGAAAAGCTTGAAAATAGAATTAGTTACCAAATATGATACAAAGGATGCTTAAAAGGAAAGTTTGTAGGGGGGTCCAAATCTGCGAAGGGGGGTCCATATCCGCGGGGGGTCCAAATCCGCTGTGACACCGGAAAGCAAATGAAAAGGTAGTCGATCGTTAAAAGGTGTTGACAGGCTTGTGCGACTCCTGTCATTCGCTTGCGCTTTTAAATCTTCTGACCTGAAAACTTGGCTGTTATTAAGAAATGTTTTGATGACTTTCCTTTACGATGTGATAATAAGGGTTAGTTTCCTGTCATTTCCCTGTCTGTGTGTTCTTTTGTATTACAAAAGGTAATATTTTCATGTGCGCGCGCTATTTTCTCAGTTTTCAAGTACGTACTGTCTGTCTCTTTTCAAAACCTTATTCTCAGTATCCTCTATTCTTTCAAGCATATTTGAAAATCTGTACGTTTTTTATTAAATGTTAAGCGTGACGAATTTGGGCTTCTCCTTTCGCGAATCCCGTATTTACACCTCTAAGAGCATGACATACAAAATAGTTCGTGTATTGGAAGGTCGCTGTCTCTTTGTAATATGTTTGCATGTCAAGGGTCGATTCCCTGTTAAATAACTTGCGAATTTGATATTATTCACACAGCCATCGGCTGAGAGTGTGACTGCTGCCAAATGAATAGATTCTTGGGCAGGGCTGCAGTTTCGATTCTTTCTGAATCTCTTCAGTTGCCTCCTAACAACTAATTTGTCCCGGAGGAATAACAGGAGTCGCGCAGGCCTGCAAACACTTTTTAACTTTCGAAGGAACGGTAACAGATAATGAATCCTCATCACATTCCACGTTTATTCACGCTATCTTGATGCTACTAGAGATGTTCACTCGACCGCGACAGGATGCAAATGACTCAATTTTTGTTTTACGACCATTATGCAACGCAATCAGAGTGCGCACACCGCCTGGAAATAGACCAAACTATATGCAGGTGTCAACTTACGACTTGATTGCATAACCTTGGACTAGCACATCCCTCTACGTTTTTATGGTATTGTGGCTTGCCTTGACGGTAGATTTCGAGTTCTTGATTGGTAGAAGCTGCTGATTTCCTCCTTCAGTTTTTGCACAAAAATAACGTACGTATATTTTCCTGACCCGATTTGCCGTGTTTCAACTCGCATTACCTGATCACGTGCGAGTCCAAAGTGCAAGTTTTTGTTCCTCGGGAAGTTAATAGGTTTTGACCCAAGAAAAGTGTACCATTCTCCGCTGATCGGAAAACATATGAATTGAATCAATGAGCGTTGAATAATTCAGATAATTGAGAGAACGCCCGTACACCTAACTATTATCTACCTTGTTTACTGCAAAGTAACAAAGAACTAAAACATATCGTTTGGGTGAGCGCTTAATTCTGAGTCTGCATTGTTAGGACGGTATCCCCATAGGCGGCCCAAGCTCACGTCTCCAGAAAAAGCCAACGATGAATTCATGAACGCGTCACGCGTTGTGTGACTCGGTGTTAAGAGAGTGTCTCTGTAAGAGCGGTCCGGTCGATTTTGCTTGAGACACGGATTTCGCTCGTTTCTCGTGTATTGTAAGACATTCATGTACCTATACTAAAACCACAATCAGTTGGATCGGATCTCTTTATTTTTCAGAGTTTTACGAAAATTAAATTTCACTCGAGCGAAGGCTTGTCGTGACACTTTTCAAGACTTTAATTTCATACAACTTTGGAGGACAATTTACAAAAAAATACGGAACTCAGCAAAAAACAAATACCACAGCCATGTATATTAACTCTATCTTATCTATCGAGGCGACTTTCGTAAACATCACGTGTCAATTAAGGAAACAGGAAGACTTGAATGACGCCTTATCGGTTCGCCTTAATCACACATGCCAAAACCGATCAAATTCAAGGTAAATTTCTGAAAAAGTGAGGCGTTCTTAACTGATCCAACTAACATAGCTAGGAAGTAGGTGCCATAGAAAAGATAACTACAGAAAAAAACTTTGCGGTCCGACCTTTACGAGAACTTTGTAACTCCGTGAACTTACCTAATTTTCGGCAATCTCCAAGTTTGGTCGCCATTTTGAGGGACTTGTCAACATGAAGCGTAACCGATATAAATCAAGCAGGTAGATCTAAAACCGTCAGAAATACATACGAAAGCAATTCAAATGAACTTTACTTTCAATTCAAGCGGCAAAATTTGAAATTGTTCGTTAAACTTACCATCCCCATGCGACCATTTCTTTCAACAATTCAAACACTACAACTAGTGTTCGAATTCCACCGTAAGAAATAACCTGTGCCACCCAAGCTTCGACTCGAATGTGAAGTACGAATCAAATAAATGCCAGTGGTTAACCTTGACAGGTTCAAAAGATATTAAGAGGACACCAAGTGAATGCGAACATATACAACAGCCCGACATTTGTGCTTGTGCCATAGACCTAACTACAATTATTCCTTTTGTGTTATTTTCCGGTAATTATTGAATGATCTTATTTCACCAAAACGAAACAGATCGAATACACTGGATATTAATTTTCTGGTGAAATGTTCAGCTGGTGATACAGAAAATCTTTGTGTGCATTGGTCAGGCGTTCCCTGACAAAGGGATCGATTTGTAATTGGGAACCATTAAAACTAGCACTATCAGTACTATTTCCCTTTCTGACACAAGCTAGATTTACATGAAAGTAAACACCCTGTTCCTTCCCTACTCTCAGAATTCCTGTTTTGTCTTTCCAGGGACGACACTCTCTGTGCATAATAGCAATGTCATCTGGAGTAGGAAAGAGGCCACCATCTGCCATGCGTGCGAACCGTCTGCTACATCCTGTGCAAGTTGTTACGCGGAGATGATCGGAAAGGAAGACAAGAGAGAATGGATTGACACTTCCACCACTAACTTCATGTTGTCCATTTCTTCGAATAATCGTTAGTTTGACGGGTTGTTGGACATCCGCAGTACTTTGCAGCCTGTCCACGTGTTCAGTTACAAAGCTTTCTGCCCTCTTAGACTTTTTGCCTCTCTTCCTTTGGTGAGGCTTTTTTCCAGCATTGCCAACGTCAAGGCCGTAAGTGGACATGTTGGTCACATTTGTCTGTATAGCATTTTTCTTGTGCCATTGTAGAAGACCGTGAAGCATACCCTTGCTTGTGTTCCGCGGCTGCCAATGTGTGAGCACAGAGGCTTGAGTGGTTGAACGCTGGACACATATCATCGCAACTGAATTTCCCGTTCTTGTATTCTTTCACCACATGTGGTTTTGGCGACGTTTCCGATGCTACCAGTACAGTGTTGTCGTGTTGGAAGCCATCTTTAACTCTTTTCATTTGCAGCAACCTCCGTGCTTTGGCAAACTGATTGGACAAAATACTCTCTGGTATGCCGATAATGCTAGACTGTTTATACGATATTGACAATGTAGATGGTGTTTGCGACACTGGGCCACTCTCCTTGGCCTTGTTGGTGTAAGCCCTCCTCTCGGCGGGGTTCATTTTTTCTCCACCTTTCTGGGGATATCTTGAGGTGGCTGTACTCATTTGTCAGACTGCATTCACCCTGATCTAGAATTGTTCCTTCCAACAGTGCATCCTGTTCCTTTACAAGCTCGTGGCTTTTGGAAATGAAGGTTACCAAACTGACATGCTTGTGCTCAGTCTTCAGCTTTAGAAGGTGGTTTTCTGCTTCGTTGTCATTAATGGAATACAACGAGTCTCCTAGTCCAGCCTTCTGGCGGAGGGGCTTCAGCATAGAAGTTATGATCGTGTCAGAGACATTCCCCACAAACCAGTCATAGAATGTTGGTTCTTGGTTGGTGATTCCCCTTTCGCGGTCATTCCAAACTTTTTCCAGAGAGCATAATTTTGCGTAAAAATCATCTGCGTCATTGGAATCTACAATTCCGTGGTATGAGGTGGCAGCGACACTTTTTCCAATTATGTCACAAAGGAATTCATTTTGATCCCTTCCAAGGATACCTAGACTAGACATCTTCATCTCGATGTTCTTTCGAAGATGGATAAAGCATCTGTGATGGTCAGCCTCCGGAAACTCTTCTCTTAATGCGTTGGATAAGGCACGTTCACCATCCGTTCCAAACGCCTTGAGTTGCACAGTGTGCGGATTGAACCGCTTCATCGCTGAACCTAGATACCTGTAAGTCTGTTCAGTTTTACTTGGATGAACAAGTAAGGGTCCAAGGAAAACAGGATGCTTACCATTTCTCACGTTGTAGATCTTGAGCGGTCTATATGTCATTGGAGTTACACTGAAGTCTCCCAGATTAATCGTGGCGTCCACGCCAAGAATGGAAAATGAGCCCACTTGGGCACAGTACAACTCGATGTCTTTCAATTGGCGGTCAGTGGCAAGAAAGGCCATAGGTTCTGGAGCACAAACAACTTCTCTATTGAAACCATCTTTGCTCTTGCACTTCTCCATTGCCTCTAACAGGATATCTCTTCTTTGGTTGGTGGAAGGCTTAAAGGAGGTTGTAGACGAAGCTAATGCGTTACTAACTTGTTTCGCATTTCGCGGCAGCTCACTTTTGGAACGACAGAATTCCAACCCCCCTTTTCGACGAACTGATTCGAAAAAGACTTCCCTGGGTTGTCATTTCCTTGATGATACAGTTTCCTTAAGGTCTTGAATGGTGCTTGGTCTCGTTCGCACATAGGGTTCGTTGCTGTTTTTAGAGTTTCCATGCTTTTTAAGTTTCAGTTGCACTTCCTCCTCTTCATAATAGTACTGAAGTAAGATAAGTCGGTGCCTTTGCCACTTGCTGTCGTACAAGAAAGATAATCTCTTGCGGTATTTAGCTTCCTTGTCATGATGATGATAGTGCTTGACAACCATTATGAAGTTGGCGTCGTTTCTCTTTTGCCTCGTTATTTTCAGATCCAGTATATCTCCACTCACGTTGCGGTCGACGGAAATGTAGCTTTTCGGAGAACCAGTATGAATCCACTTGCCAAGATCGTCAGCTTTGCAATCATCCGGGTGGACAAGGGCGTCTAAATCAATCAAAAAGGAGGCGTTTTCCATAACCTGAAGAGGCACTTCGGTACAGACGGGCTCTCTTACTCTCATCAAAATGTCGACAACCTCATCACTTGAATATGCAGAGCTTTTTCCTTTCTCGTAGTATGGAATACGCTTGTCGTCTTCGTAATACTTGTTAGATTCCTAGAAAGAGAACATCAACATATCACATCTTGCATAGCAAATATTCCAATTCCGCGCCAAGTAACGAAAAGCCCACAAGGTAAAAGCAAAACGAAAATAGATGTATACTGCTTTTTCAGTCTGACAATACGTATGAAAACTGTTGATAAATAGTGATACGAAATGCCGAACAAACTGGTGGAAATTGACACAGTCTCTTATTTAATTTACTGGATGGTAGTGAATTTTTAACGCACCTTTTTGAGCTTTGAAAAAGGGATCAAAATGGAAATATTTTAATTACGCATAAATCATAATGGGAGCGATTTTAAGTAACAATCCAATTCTAGGAAAAGCAATGAAGTAATTAACAAAAACTTTCTGGACACCAAAGAAAAGCTAAATACACTTCTTTCTTTCATCAAGAAAGGAGAGTTCTGCTTTCAATCAAAATACATTGAGACATACCTTCTCAGAATCATCCCTGCCATCTTCGATTTCACTTTCACCACTACTGGTGATTTCGCTTTCATGACAACTGGTGATGATACTTTCATCATTACTGTCAACTATCTCCATGAAGTCTACTTTACATTCTGTTGCTACAGTGCCCTCGTTGCTTTCCAAAAATATTGCTCTGCGCACAAAGCCAAACTCTTCCACTTTTCTTTTCCTGCAACAAGAATAAAAAGTGTTTTTAATAGAGTGAAACCCTGTTAAAAGATTATAACAACCAGCCATCAAGTAACTGCTGTTGTGGGGTTTTACAACATTGGGCGGGTCAACAATAGAACAAATTGTACACAAACGATAAACCTTGTCATGAAAGTCAATTGTAGCGGCCACAGTTGGGGACAAATGTTTAACTGCTCTCAAGAGTTTTTACACTACTTAGAAAACTGATGAAATAAGGCTCGAAAAATCGTGTCAATGACAGCAGCTCTGGTCTAGCTTCCTCCATAGGTATCAATCAATAATGGTTTACTTGAACAATTGTTTTCTTGTTACTATGTGTCAATTTTTTTCTGTCATGTAACTCCTAACATCACATGTTAGGAGTTAGTGACTACTCATATCATTTTAATGTAATGTTCATTCCTAGCATACCCCTTATATCTTTTAGAATCTGGTGACTAAACTGGGCTGCCATCAACCTATTAAGGTAAAATAGAATATCGATCCGTGAACAAATGTATCACCAATAAACGTTTGTTACATGCATGCAACAAACATCAACATGGGATTAACCCAACCGTGATGCCAATATTGTGAGGAAAAATGCAATGGTCAAGAAAGAACACTAAACACTCATGATATTTGAATAAGCTATGAAAACACACCTGTTGAGAAACGGATGAAGTTGATTTCAATGCCAAATCACCTTCACTTTGCCTGATAACACTGGAGAAAAAATGAGGAGAAATGGGAATGGGAACAGTGGAACTCTAACAAGTCCTGATAACTAAAAGAAAACTAGAAACTGTCAACATATTATAGTAAATCACTGAAAAAAATATTTAAGGGAAAGAGAGCTGGAAGCTCCAGCTTGTGAGGTTATACTGCATTGCGCATTAGGGGAATAGTTTTAATGTTTGGCAACAAAATGGTTCTATGGTTTATTAACTTGTCCTACATACCTTCTGCTTCTTTTACAGGCCCCAACCATTTTTATTTCAGTAATGGTACTGCCATCCTGTAAAGCAAAAATTTTGATGTTGTAAGGTTATTTAATCTGGGTTGAGAACATTATTATGCACTCTCTTGGGGGAAGAGGGGACACATGGGATGTAGGATCACTAAGGCTAGTTATTCACATTCCTAATTTTTATAGTAGTGAAGGTTAATGAACTGCACTGGTGCTTTACCTTTTAATGCTTTCTTATATAATTTTTCACAGCTACAATATGTTACATGTCCATAACTCATAGTGATTGTACTGGCATGCTAAATTAAGTGAGAAACAATTAGAGATACACCCACAAAAGACAACTTGGGTTTATTTTACAATTTTTTAACAGCTCCATCAACAGTTTCAATGGACAGTTCCCTCCTGGAATACTTTGTTTCTTACATCTGTTTCTCAATTTTGTTTACCATGCTCTAACCTTTTTTCTTATAATTGATTTCCTAGTAATTTAAAATACTAAATTTTTCATATCATCGTAGCATTTACTATGCTTAAGTGTATTTTACATGAATTATATGCTAGTCAGTAAATCCTGTAAACTAAAATCATCCAAAAGAAAACAAATTCCATGAACATGGACATGCAATAGCTTAAATATGTGGCTATTTTTTGGAATGAACACTTTCAACACATTGAAAAACTTGTTACCTGATTGAAATGATCTTGTATCATATTTGACATTGACCTAAAAACATACAGGCATGTCGTAAACAAGAGAAATTTACATCAATTTATGAACATTTTTTGGACTATCCATACTGTTATAACCCATGAGCTTTACCTAGAGTCCAATTAACAACACTGCAAAAGATTCTAATTTAACTTGTGTTTGCAATGGACACAAACAGTAATAAGATTTCTCAAAACTACCATACCTTTGGTAAAGAGAACACTCTTGTAAACTTATTTGTAAAGCTTTATGAAGATCGTGATCATCTTTCCAAGGTCCACTGATCCTGATTTACAAATTTAAAAGCATAATTTTTTGGATTAATTTTCTCCCCTTTGTTGACTTACAATCATTAAGGATCTGTCATTAATCCTTACCCCAGTACTAAAGCAAATATTAAATCATATGAATTAAGAATTTTGTGTTTGATGAAGCACTGTAAGGTTCATAAGTTTTTATAATTCATAATTCATAACTATTTTAATTTAGATTTAAGCGGAATTAGAACGAAACATCTCATCACGTTAGTCACCTTTCCATTTTTTCCAGTATTGTCATAGGTTTAGCGCCAATAGTAATGAAATGTGGAAGCTAGAAAGAGTAATTTATGTACCTTTCGTCGGATTTTCACACGTACTTTTTTTCCGGTTCCCAATCACTTTCCAGGTCGAGATCATTACGAGAATTATATGCACATTCTAGGGGTGAAAATGAAATAAATATACATTTTCGGACAACAGTTTTCCTGAAGTAAACGTCAGCATCGAAATTAACAAGGATTAGGCACGGATGTAAAAGGATCGAGAAGAAAACACAGCTATTTACCAGGAAAGTCCTCCATAATTGCCCACGATGTCTTTTAACAGTTTAAAACCCCCTGCGTTGAATACCAACCCATAAATGGGCTCCTGTCTGTACCTGGAGTTCTCACGGTCAAATAGGCAAGCAAACATATCCGGTCGAACCATGGACGCTGAAAACCATCGGCTACTACTAACAAACTCTCCAGCATATGATAGCTTTCTCGAGACCACCGAAAATTATACCTTACAAATTCAGCGCAAAAATTAGGTGTCGTTTGTTTATCACTTCCCCGAGTCCCCGCGCGTCTCCGAGTCCCCGCGTCCCGCGTCACGCGTTCCACGTCCCCAAGTCCCCGAGTCCACACGTCCCAGTCGCACTTCCCAGTCCCCACGTCCCCGTCCCACTTTTAGTCACAGCCCTCTTAATTAAGGTATGGACAAATGATTCAATTCGAGCCGCGCAAATTCTAAATCGCCGTTTACACGACCAATGAAACCGTATCGTTTTGAAAACGTTCCACTTTTGAAAGCGTTTTCAGAACGACCCGGTTCTGATAACGAACATGACCGGCGCCGTTTAAACGAAAGGCGCAACCGCATCAAAACCGATGCGGTTAGTATAGGTAATCACATGAGGCCAAGTACTATTAAGGATTAATTGCACGAGAGTTTTCAAAATTTTCCAAAATTGCCCGAGTCGCGAAGCGACGAGGGCAATTTGGAAAATTTTGAAAACTCAAGTGAAATTAATCCTTAATAGTACGAGGTCTCATGGGATTACTTGTTTATCAATAAAGGGCAAAATTTATACGAAGGAAAATCACGCGCGCAGTCTATTTTTATCTGGGAAGCAACGGATTAGCAATGCAACGGATTAGCCAATCATTAACAGGTAATCATGCCCTCTCTTGATTACTAAAAATGCCCTCGATTAAGAAAAAAATGCCCTCTCTCTCAACCAATCAGCGCTCAGTAATTTTGCCCTTTATTGATAACAAATGAAACCGCGTACGTGTAAGCAGTGCCTAAGAAACTCGGACATGATATGTTGGGGGTGTTACGATTTGACGGTTGCTAGGCGTTGTATGGGTCAGAATTTAATTCCGTGCTTTTCATTCTCGTTTCACTATCTATTGTTCTTGGTATGTGTACAATTCACAAGGAACACAGGTAAGGTTATCCCCTTATTTTGCGTTTTGGCGTCGTGTTCTCTCGTATCTGTTCACTTATTGTTATATTATGGATCTGGAGAAGAACGTTTTCTATTCATCTTGCTGTATTTTGACCATGCAAGTAATGCTCGTTCCTGAATACGACTTGTGAATTCGAGTGAAGCCGAAATCCAAGTCTCAGTGGCGACATACGACGCACATACTTTTTCTCCCAGGACTAACACGATTCGTTCCACAAGTACATGTACTAGTCTTTCAAATCTCGTTGGCGGACTTGCTCTGTTGAAAATTCACTAAGAGCATAAACTATCCTCGTACCAAACTAAATCTCAAAGAAGCTTCTCTTGATATTTGTGCCTCAAACAACAGGCATCCAAAGTTTCAATGCACACACATTTCATATGAGGCATCGTGTTTATTGCATTCATTCTGGGAGCAGTAGGATGGAGCTATAGTTTCCTCTAGTTTGTTGTCGACTCTAGATATCTGATAGTAAACTGTGAGAGATTATCGGGAACGATCTAGAAAAAACATTAAATTGTATACCAGTTTGAGCTTTATCAAGTCTTAGTGGTCAGGCCCTGGGCCGATCGTGCAAATGCTCGGATTACATCCGATCGCTCTGAAATTTCGGCTGTAGCATGTAAACATTCTAAGCCAATCACATGGTGAGTTTTAGCTCCGAACTATCAAACGTGACCTCGGGAGCCCGATCCAAAAATTATTTGCGTACGATTTCAGTCTGCGAGAATGGCGTCCGATGCGAAACGCTAGAGATACAGCGTAGCTAAGGCTTTAGAGGTGATTTTTGACGATGGAAGTGAGCATGGTGGTATCTCTAGTGGTGAGGAATCCGAATTAGATTGAAAACTGGAAAATCCTAGCGAAGAATCGAGGTAAGTAATCTGTAAACATTCTTGGGATATTTAAATGCGTGACGCATGTGGTGTTGAAACATTTACTTTTACTTTTCGCGTACGAATCCTTGTTTTTTGCCTTGAGACAAACCTGTAAATGTATATTTGTTAATGAAAAGCAACATATATTATGATCAAACATGATTTTTGAGCGACAGAGAAAATAATCTTCAATGGAATGTTAGAACGCAACGACCTAAATTATCAGCCGATGACAGATATGACGCAGTGTGCGTCCGAACTAAATCAAATAAAATCTTTTAATTTTAAAACGATAGTTGAATATATATCGACCTGTACATTATCTTACATGTTTTGTATGTTTTTTAGATGTGGTTCTACTTGTTACATGCTGAAAATTCACAAAACAAACAAATTATGCTCGAGAATGGGTGGAATGATATAAAATGACAGTTTCCGGCTTCACTTCAAACAAAGAACTATAGTTCCAATGGTTGCACTGTAGACTTCAAGAGGGATCACAGGCGGCCCAAGCTCCAGCTGTGAGACGATCATCTTACGCAATAACGGTCATGGCGGAATTATAAGAGTTTGTATAGGAATATTTACGAGCGCTCTAAGGAATAAAAAAATACGTCAAATTCTCAAAAAAAATACCTCACCTCGCTTCCACAGCGTATTGCTTGTTATCTGACCGCTTACTTTGATGAAAAGAGCCCATTTGAGCGAGTTGTTCATTTCGAGGTTTTCAACGAACATAAGAATGTACGTTGAAAACCTCGAAATGAACAACTCGCTCAAATGGGCTCTTTTCATCAAAGTAAGCGGTCAGATAACAAGCAATACGCTGTGGAAGCGAGGTGAGGTATTTTTTTTGAGAATTTGACGTATTTTTTTATTCCTTAGAGCGGTCGTAAATATTCCCATACAAACTCTTATAATTCCGCCATGACCGTTATTGCGTAAGATAATCATCTCACAGCTGGAGCTTGGGCCGCCTGTGGAGGGATTAGTAAATTTGGGCATTTCACTTCTGAATTGTTTACTCTTGAAAATACTGGTGGTGCATTGCAAGTGAAAGGCTTTTGATATATGTTGCGCTTTATGTATTTTGAGGTTGATTATCTCATTTGTCCCTGTTTCAAGGCAAAATTTCAGAAGTCAAACAAAGAAATATAGTTCCAATGATTTCACTGTAGACTTCAAGAGGGATTAGTAAATTTGGGCTTGGGGTGATGATGAGGTCAGACTAATTAGTCAGTGTGTCAATCAGTGTTCACTAGATATGTGTAACACATCTCAGATTTGTTATCTTCCAACCAATTTTTTATGGAGATGTTGCCCATATAACAAGGAACCTCTTAAGTTAATTTTTGCCTTATTACTTTGTATTATTTGGGTATCACTTAATTCACAGTTCAAATTTAGATGATATTTTATGCTAATTAATGTTAGTTTGAAAGCATTCAATGAGGTTGTTTCCTTTTTCTGTGATTAGGAATGACCCGCGGAGTAATCACCCACAAGTGTGGCGTCTGGAGCGGTTGAATCGATCCGCCGGCCCCAAACCACAGTGTGCAGGGTGTAAGAAAGTGTCCTTTGATACTGGTGATATTCTGTTGGCGGTTGATGCTCTTTACGTTCCACGCAACAAGGAACTTTGTGTTCAGCGATCGTATAGATTCTGTGTCGACGCTCCGTGCTTCTCCGAAGTGCCAAGGTTTTCAAACTTAAAACCAGCCAGAAACGCACTTGCCGGTCGAGGAGCGACTCATGAAAACATTGAAAGAGCATTCTCTATGGTGCTAACAATTGAGTCAATGCAACCTCACACTGAATTCTGAAAGTAGAACGAAACAGTTGTTTTTGTTGAGCGACATGTTTTAACTCGTATCGTCCAAGTTTAAGTTGTCAACGAACCTCTCGGCGATGAAGATATGTGACATGAATGTATTACACAGCTATTGCACGATAAAAAGGGGACCATTTTCGTTAAAATAAGTATTTATTAGTTTCCGCCAGCTGCCTAGACGTTTTTGATAAAAGCCTCGACTAAGGACCGGCCCACATGTGCTACAAAGCATAAAAATTCTGACTTGCGAAGCGTCTGTTTCACAACATTCACTCGCCCAAATTGGGGATTCAAAATAAGATATAAAATCATCTTGCCTGAGTAGTTTGCGAGCAATCATTTTTGACTCTATTGTGCGTTTTGTTTAGTTATTACAGACCAAGGGTGAATGACAGTGAATTCAGGAATTTGTGCACAGCGAGAGGTGTGTCCAATTATTCCTTCACGTCTAGGTTTAACACAGTTTAAACAATTGAGTTCACAGTTTTAGTTGTATTTGAAGTTTCATATTATAATACAACGTTCAGGTTAGGTTAACTGTATGCAGCTACATGTTACACTTAAGTAAATAAAGTTCAAGTTAGGCTGGTTCTTTGGGTGGAGATGGCTTTTCTTTCTGTGCTAATCCAGTTCTTTACTGTCGCTGTAAAGGATGGGCAGTTCACGGTTTTTGTTATAACGCACTGCTCACTCCTTGAGCAGGTAAGAGGTAGCGAAACCTGAAATCGTGTTTTCTGATTGACTACCTGGCTGGCAGTATGGGGCTATCTTGCCCACTTTGGATTACTTGTTTTGATCCCGCAAGAAAACATTCTTAAGTCAATGAGTGATCTTTTGGCCATGTTACGGTGAGTTTTCATTGAGAAGCGAAGTGCTACCGTTATTTCCATGTGTGACCGTTGAAATGACAATTAGAAACAGTCACAACTTTATTTATTCTCTGCAACACAGCAATTAACGGTTTTGTCAAACGCTTTTTAGTACTTATTAATTCTAACAGTTTAGTTTGGACTACCCAAAATTGCATCACCAAAAATGCAAAGATGCCACCTTTGGAAACTCGTTAGGCTCGGTAATAGGTTAGAACTTGTAAATGCGTGCGATCTCCCTGAGAGTGTCATCGATATTTGTTGTATTTGTTTGGACCGAATACAATCGACTGAAAGCGAAAATGAAATTGACCTAAATGCGCACTGTGGGGCTCCTAAATGCTCGCTGAAGGCTTCATGACCTTCATAAATTGATTCCTCGACTACAGGTAATCATGAAAGATCGGTAAAAACGACCAAAGACATCGAAAAGGCTGCTAAACGTACCTGTTAAGATCTCTTTCCCGAAACAACACAGCGGGCCGAATGTGAGTTTCGTCTATTTTGAGACAAATGCTGATTGGATATTGATAGAAGGAGGTCGCGAAGTGGTTGAATTCCTGGTTTTCCCAGGAGCAGTCCGATGACTGGGTCGCAATATGGATATTTCTAGAAGGCCGTTGCTTCAACCGAATCATCGATCCAGTGTACCGAAAATTCTCAGGTGCTGAAAAAAATTGCTGCAGCCTACGCTGAAGCTCCGGCCGCAATAAATCCTCTCAGGTTGTAAATGAGCGCATCAATGCGTGAATGGGGTACAAAGCACTTTCCATGCTACAGTTTCTTTATTTAAAATTCTTTCAGATTTTCATCTTCAAATGCTTTCTAGAGAGGAGCCAAAGACTGTCTTAATAAAGACAGGAGAGAAAATGGAAAGATATTGAAAAAAACTGTGGCTCGCAAGAAGAGGCTCGAGGCTCGCAAAAAACGGCTCCGGCTCGCATGCTCGCACATTAGTTTAACTCGCTAGTAATTGCTATGCTAATTATTTTATATTCCCTCAGCAAAAGACTCAAAGAACTTTACAAAATGAACTAACAAGTTACAAAAAATTCGAGGTGGTTGTAGGTGGTTTTTGAAATTTTTGAGGTGGTTGTAGATGGTTGTAGGTGGTTTTAGGTGGTTTTAGGTCGTTCCTTGTTTTAGTACTTACGCGTGGATTTAGCTAAATCCTTTTTTGTTTAGCATGTTTAGCTCTGGTTTCTCAAAGACGGGAAGAGACGCACTTCTTGAATAAAGTGGCTAACATCTTTAAGTCTGCCATTGTCGCGTCAATATCGAAATATACGAGAAATTTACGTTCGTAAGAAACAAAATGGGCGTACGTCAGTTTAAATCATTCATTTCTTTTCATTTTTCCGCAAATAAGGGAGATAAGAAACAGACAGAACAGCCTGAGAGCTAGTTTGCTTGACGAACCTTGACAATCTCAGCTGGAATTCTTTGGGCCTTTTTAAGGTATGTATGTTCTGTTGTTCACTGAAATCGCTTTTAAAGTGCCCATTTACACACGTCCATAAGCAAAGAGAAATTATACACGCATTTGACTGATTCTAGCTTGAGATCTATAGGAAGATCTAATATCTATATGCGCAAGTATCATGAAAATATTTAAGCAATGGAGATTTTAATCGATTTGTAGTCGAAAATCATTTAACATCATTGTTTTTCTTTTCTCTAGGAACAATGAGCACTCCTTCAAAGGTGCACCTTGACTTTGTCAAACAACCCATAGGACAAAAACCGCCTTCCAAGCTCCCGGGAATAGGTCCTGTTATTGAAACAAACCTGAAGGGCGCAGGAATTACCCGAGCATATCACATTCTTGGCATGTTTCTTTACCTCGATAAAGATCTCGCAGCGTTCACCTCCTGGCTGAAACGCTTCGGAGCGAATGGGGGCCATTGCCAAGCGTGTTTCAACGCCTTGATCGAATGGTACCAAAATCACTTGGCCTGACAATTAGAATAATCTATAGATCTGTAATTGCAACGCCTTCATACTATTTACATTGAGTTCGTAATGTCGACGGTGTTAGCTCTACCTTGAGAATAAAACTAGTGATGTAAACATCTCTGAATAAGTGACTCATCCTTTAATGATCAAGCAGGGAGTCTATTGCAAATCTCCTCAGCTGAGTCTGCCTAAAAAGGTACCTGTCTTCCTCCCAAGAATGCGTACGTTATATATGCTGAAAAGAATTTTACTTGTTTAATAACAGATACGTGATCCGTGCAAAGCGCCTTTTATTTTCGAAACTGCTAGTGGCCAGTACATATAAGACTGACACAGACTATAGCTAGTGTTATTTACGATGGTAATGGCAACGAGTTGAGTCTATAGTTCAGTGATTGTTCAAGAACAGACGGACCTCCATACGAACTCAACTTTGATCCAGATGCCCGCACCTAAATTTTTTCTTCGGCTAAATTCAGCATTTAACACTCGCTAAATGTTGTGTTATTTTCAAATTCAGTACGTCACAATCAGTTGATTTTAGAGTAAAGTAATCCTCAGTCACAGCCTGCGGAAAATTTCAAACATTTTGGACGAGCCAGCTTCGTCGGTGAGATTATTTTTGAAAGCACCGAGTTGTGCACAGGAGAAACGGAACACGTTCCTATTTAGAACCAGACTAAGGTAATTGTTTATTATTTCGCGCACAGGATTTTATTTAATCAACATGAAATTAATAGGTGATAGAAAAGCAACTGGATGGATGGAGTCAGAGTTATCGTCTTATCTCTCGCAAAAGCGAGTGTATAGCTGCTTTGTGGCTCGTTTATGGATGGAAATGTTGAGTACATATGTTAGAGGGCCATAAGCACCTCTTTTTCCATCAAAGGTAATATTCAAATGTAAAAGCACTGGAATTTCCATATCATTCATTTTTACCTCTGTTACTTGGTCTCCGAGGTTAATAAGCTAACCAGAGGAGTTTAATGAGGACCTTTTCTTTAGAAGTGGCTCGAATTATTAAGAAATATAACAAGGTCTACAGTGAATCACGCGCACGGTTATTGTTGTGGGAGAGCGAGTATTCCAGCAGAGGACGAATGAGTGTTGTTTCCCTGAGACCCTCACGCTGAAGGGAAAATTCGTGATGGAGTGGAAACAAAACTCATTCTTTCACCTGGGGCCGGGTGTTTTCAAGTCAGAAATAGACCAAATTATATGCAGGTGTCACCTTACAACTTGGACTAACGTTTCGTTCAAACTATGATCTTTGCAAAAGTCCCTCTACGTTTTCATGGTGTTATCGCTTGCCTAGACAGTAGATTTCGAGTTTTTGATTCAGGGGCAAAAGTTGCTGATTTTCTTCTTCAGTTTTTGCACAAAAAATGTTTTCTTGACCCGATTTGCCGTGGTTTCAACTCGCATTACCTGATCACGTGCGAGTCCAAAGTGCAAGTTTTTGTTCCTCGGGAAGTTAGTGGGTTTTGACTCAAGAAACGTATAAATTGAATCACGAGCGTTGAATAATTCAGATTATTGAGAGAGCGCCTGTATACCTAACTATTATCTGCCTTGTTTACTGCAAAGTAACGACGAACAAAAAAATATCGTTTAGGTAAGCGCTTAATTCTGAGTCTGACTTATTAGGACGGTATCCTCTGAGAGTTTCCCTCGTAACGTTTATTTTATCAACTTGAAGATGGATGATTTTCACTATGGCTTACTAATGACCTTTGAAAAATTTTCGCGCAATAGATAGTGACGTTTAAGGTCGTTCAACCGTTTTTAAGTCGATTAATATTCTTATGCACTCGAATCGTGGCTTCCCAGGTACTTTGCATAGCCTGCAGGAATGATATTGATATCTGACATTAAACAAGCTCAATAATTTCGCTGCGAGTTGAACGATAGACAAGGTTTTTGCATGCCATGAAAATTACCGCAACCCGAAATTGGAAGCTAACCATTTAGATGACGTGTTCGTTGGTAGCTAGATATTCTTTTTCACTCACAACTAGAAAGTTCA